TTTTTATTTTATCTGTTGATTAGGGCCGGAGGAAAGTATTGTTTGGTTGGTTTCCTACCTGCGTTTTCCCTCCCACCCACCCCTTTGCATGCATTTCCGGGTTGGTACAATGACACGTCAGCAGGCCACGTCAGCAGTGCCACATAAGCAGTGCCACGTCAGACACAGTGCCACGTAAGCAGTGCCACGTCAGCAGTGCCACGTCAAACACATTGCCACGTAAGCAGTGCCACATCAGCAGTGCCATGTCAGACACAGTGCCACGTAAGCAGTGCCACATCAGCAGTGCCATGTCAGACACAGTGCCACATCAGCAGAGCCACGTCAGCAACATGACGGGCCTGCCAGGCCAACTGGCCAATGAGCCCATTGCCGACTACAAAAAGCGCTTCCAAGCTCAGCTCGCTGCAAGCGAGGCTGAGGAACAACGCCAGCTGGCAGTCAAGGCTGCCCAGCTACAGGCTGAAGAAGCGGCAACAGCAGAGAAGATGCGGCTACAGGCCGAAGCAGACGCAGATCCCCAAGCTCGCCGCAAGGAAGCCCAGGATCTGCTGCAGCGGCATGAAGCCACAAGCATCGAAAACTCAAGTTCTGGCACTTTGAACCAAACGGCGACGACGGAACACCGCAAGAGCGGCATAAGGAGTTTCTCTCCAAACTCGTGACACGGTTGTTGTATGTTGCAACTACCAACGGTCCGACTTGGAGAAACAGTACCAGGACCTGATGCAACAGCATCAGGAGTTGGCAAGGCTCCCCCATACAGTGCAGAGCCACGAGGATGCAACTCGGGCACTCAATGCCCGATTGCTGGACCTGGAACAGGCTGTACCAGGACCAGCTGCTGGGGCTTCCAGCAGTGCATCCTCTAGCCGACAACTAGAGGAACGCGTTGACCACGTAGTGGCAATGCTTGACGACATCAGCACCTTCGCTGCGCCGACCACCATCAGCAGTCAGCTGCATACCTTGAAGACCGAGTTCCAGCAGCTGCAGTCGACGAACGCAGATGATAATCCGAAGATGTACAAGATGCCAACTTTCCAACTGGACAAGTTCGACGACTACACGCAGCAGGATCCGGTCCTCTGGTGGGAAGCATTCACAACGCAACTCACGATTTTGGCCGTAGCCAAGCATGCGTACATCGGCGCCCTGTTCCTGAACTCAAAGGGCGGATGCCAGACCTGGTTGAGCCACCTGGCAACCTCCCACGGCGTCGACGTACCGGACTTGAAGGACAAGATCACATGGGAGGAACTGACACGGCTATGGAAGAACCGGTTCATCGTCGACGACGCGCCGACACTCGCCATCAACCGTTTGTTCACCATGTCACAGGGCAACACTGCAACACGGGACTGGCTCACGGAGTGGCAGACGATTGCGGCAATGCCCAATCTGGACTTGCCATTCATACATCTCAAACGTGAGTTCTACAACAGATCCTGCTCTGCATTGAGCCAGGCTCTTGGTGATCGTGAGCAGTACTCAACCTTCGCTGAGATCATTGACAAGGCGAGGGAAATCATCAAGACCAACAGGTCAGTTGCACACGAGAAGTCAACATGGCAGCCGACCTATGTGGAGAAGGTACGAACTGGTCCGCGACAGCAGCACTTCACTGCAGTCCAGTCGGACAGTGGAGATAACCCAGCAGTCACTCCAGCATCAAGTGACAGAGCTGTCCAGCTGCGAAGCAACAACAAGTCCCGCAACAATGGGAAGGCGAAATCCGCATCGCAGGCCGGAAATGGACAGCCAGTACAAGTTCCATAGGTCAAGTTCGGCTTGATCGAGGCGGAGTACAAGGTCCGTGGCCGCTATGGCAGCTGCTATTGGTGCAACAGCACCAAGCACAAGACCTCCCTGTGCCAGGATCAGGGCAAGGAGGATGTGCGACCCCACCTCAGCTCGGGAAACTGAGCTCCGCGGAAGGTGAGGCGACTCCACCTTCTACTCCGCCAGATTCGGCCGCCTTGCTAGCGGCCTCCTGCACATCTGGGGAGGATGCGAATGTCGCAAGTTCTCGGTACACTTACGAGGACTATGCTGTCCACTTGGTTCCACCGCTGGACCAACCGCTCCACGTGCAACAATCTACCGCATGCACGGTTTCATCACCATCGGCAACCGATTCGGCAACTTCGCCGCCATCTATCGCCGGGGATTCATCATCGTGGTCAAGACGTGAGGTGTTCGACCCACTGACGTTCACGGACTTCCAGTGGATGCCCGTTCCCCCGACCAGACGATTGTCGAAACCGCATTGCAACGTGCTCATGGCACAATTGCGGGATTACTTGCACACTGCAGTACCAGCTCCGTTGATGGACGCCGGAGCAGAGGTTGTCGACCTTCACGCTCACATCGCGAAGATCGACCGCGAGTTCAAGACGCAACGGTACGACGACATCGGCCGCAACGGTACGACGACATCGGCGCACCATTGCTATACATATGCATTCAGATTGGAGAGGCGACCTGCAGTGCCTTGATCGATTGCGGAGCATCTTGCAACTACATCAACTAGGACTTCATGGTGCGCGCCGGCCTTGGCCCATGCGTCCGAAGGAAGGCCCAGCCTACGCAAGTCACATTGGCGGACGGTCACACGCACAAGTCCATCGACCGGTGCATTGACGCCGTCCCAGTGTACTTTGCCCCTCACGCAAGTGAGGCGGTGTCCTTTGACATTCGGGACACCAAATTCGACATGATCTTGGGCATGTCATGGCTGCGAAGCGAGGATCACCCGGTGAACTTCTTCCACCGCACCGTTCACATTCGTGATCGGAACGGAGTACTAATTCCATGCACGATGCCTCTTCCTCATCCTTCGATCAGCTGCCACGAGGTATCCGCCGCAAGCATGCGAGCTTCCATCATCAGAGACGACATCGAGGAGATGGGGGTGTGTTTTCTCCACGCCCTCCCGCCCCATGACGCTTCATCGACGAACTCACCTTCGGATCCACGCATCACCGAGCTTCTGGACGCCTACAGCGACGTGTTCGAAGGCCCGCACGGAGTAGTACCGGATCGACCCATCCGCCACGAGATCATCCTCAAGGACGGGGCCGTACCTCCGCGCGGTTGCATCTACCGAATGAGCGAGGAAGAGTTCAGTGTGCTTCGCGCACAACTCGATGACCTTATGGAGAAAGGCTGGATTCGGCCTAGCTCATCGCCATACGGAGCTCCTGTTCTCTTCGTCCGGAAGAAGAACAAGGATTTGTGGTTGTGCATCGATTATCGCAAGCTCAACGCGCAGACAATCAGAAACACCGGCCCTCTCCCACGCATCGACGATCTTCTCGAGCGATTGGGCGGCGCCAAGTTTTTCTCCAAGTTGGACCTCAAGTCGGGATATCACCAACTCGAGATCCGCAAGGAGGACCGCTACGAGACCGCGTTCAAGACACGGTATGGGCATTTCGAATGGCTGGTCATGTCGTTTGGCCTTACGAATGCCCCAACCACTTTCCAAGCGGCTATGACAACGGAGTTCCGACACATGCTGGATCGTTTTGCACTCATCCACCTCGAAGACATCTTGGTGTACAGTCGGAGTTTGGAAGAGCATGTGGAACACCTCCGCACCGATTTGGAGCGGCTACGACAGGCCAAGTACAAAGCAAACCGCGACAAGTGCGAGTTCGCACAGCAGGAGCTGGAGTACTTGGGCCATTATGTGACGCCGCAAGGCATCCGTCCGCTCGCGGACAAGATCGAGGCCCTACAAGTATGGCCCGATCCCACCAACACCACGGACGTTCGTTCATTCATGGGATTGGCGGGCTACTATCAGCGATTCATCACCGGATACTCCAGGATTGCTGCACCTATGACGAGGTTACAGTCGCCAAAGGTGCCATTCGTATTCGATGACGACGCACGTCGGTCATTCCAAGCACTTAAGACGGCTATGCTCATGGCACCCGTCCTTAGCATCTATGACCCCACCTTGCCTACGAGAGTGACTACGGACGCTTCCGGCTTCGGCATTGGGGCAGTCTTGGAACAGCACGACGGCGACGACTGGCACCCTGTGGAGTATTTCAGCCACAAAGTGCCTCCCATCAACTCGCTTGATCATGCAAGGAAGAAGTAGCTACTCGCGTTCGTCATGGCTCTCAAGCGATGGCGGAACTTCCTCCTTCGGCGTCGTAGGTTCACCTGGGTTACGGACAACAATCCATTGACCTACTACAAGACGCAGGATACGGTGAGCAGCACGATCGGACGGTGGATGTACTTCATCGACCAATTCGACTTCACACCGAAACATCTTCCCGGCCTCTCCAATCGCGCAGCAGATGCACTCTCGCGAAGACCTGATCTTTGCGCTATGACACATCACGCCTTCGCATTTGACGAGGAGCTTCAGCAACACTTCATCCGGGCATATGAGTCTGATCTGGACTTCGTCACGCTGTAGACACARCTATCTTCGGATCACCCGYCGGCCAGCCACTATCGCATTGTCGACGGATACTTGCTYCTCCACTCGAGAGGCAAGGACTTATTGTGTGTCCCACACGACCGTCGTCTTTGCACTCGCCTCCTCGGCGAGTATCATGATTCACGACTCGCCGGCCATTTCGGAGTCAACCGCACTATTGCACGGCTTCGACAGCGATTCTGATGGCCCGACCTCATTACCGATGTCACTCGGTATTGTGACTCGTGCGAAGTTTGCCGACGCAGCAAACCCCGCAGCCGCAATCCCTATGGCGAGTTACACCCGATGCCTATCCCACGGGAACCCGGTCTCTCCATTGCCATGGACGTCACCGGTCCGTTTCCTCGCGACCGGATCGGGCACGACGGCATCCTCACGGTTGTGGACCGATTGAGTAAGTACGCGCGTTTTCTCCCTTGCAAGTACTACTCCACAACTCCCGAGCTAGCACGCCTCCTGCACACTGGTTGGATTTGTGGCCACGGTGTACCAGAAGACATTGTCAGCGACCGCGACACTCGTTTCATGTCRGCGTTTTGGACTGCTCTCATGCAGGAGTCTGGCACAACAGTGAAACCAMGTTCGGCTCGGCATCCTYAGACAGACGGGCAGACGGAGCGGGCACATCAAACCGCTCAAATGATGCTTCGTACGCTCATCCGTCCGGACCAGAAAGATTGGGTTGACCGCCTCCCCAACATCGAGTTCGCCTACAACACTTCGGTGCACCCTGCGATCGGCGTGACTCCATTCGAGTTGCACCACGGTGGACGGAAAGGCCGTATCTTTGCCGACCTTCTTCTCCCTCGACCAGCCGACATTGACACTGCTTGCTCTCCCGCTTCCGTCCGGAAGTACAGGGAATTGCTCACTCAAGCCCGCGCGAACATGCAAAAGGCTCAAGTCCGCATGCAGCAGCAAGCC